TTTTTGCCGTTCATTGCGGGTGCTAGCAGCCTTTTGCGATGGCTAAGTTGAGAAAAGCAAAGATTCTCGCCACGGCGTTTCGTCAGCAACGCCAGCCCTGGCGAAGTCGAAACGACGACGACGACGACTACGACGAAAACAGTGAGCAAAGATCGCTATTCTTCCTGCAAGCTGTCGCGCAGGGCTTATCTGGGCCGATGCTATCGACATATGTGAAAGAACCAACCGCTGGTATATGCGGCGGGCATCTACACACGATGGTGTACTTTTTGTGTACCGTTTACGGTTTGAACCGCAGGCCGGCGAACGGGAGATGCAGAAGGGGTGGCCGACGACGATCGCGGTCGGCCCACGTTAACTCAACTTAGGTGTGACCGGATTACGGTAGGAGAAAGTCAGGCAAGGCAACACAGCAAGAAAAGGCAGCAGCAACGGCGGCGGCGACGACGACGACGACGACGGGTGGTGGTGGTTGTGGCAGCAGCAGCAGCAGCAGCAGCAGAGGCGTGGATAAATGACTACCTGTCAGTGTGTGAAAGATCATCGTTGTCGTCGTTTTTAGTCGCCGTCTCGGTCTCCGTCGAGCCGTGAGGCTACTCGATTCGTCAGGCGGCGCCTGAACATTGACAGAAGGATATCATGGACAACGACGATAAAGATTTCAGCAGAGAGAGGAGAGGTGGGGCCAGATAAATATCTGTTTCGCGCAAGACGAAGCAACCAGCGACGGTGGCCATCAGAAGAAGCGGGCGGCGAAGAAGCAAAGAAAGGCGATGTCGGTGTTTCGACGGGTTCTTCGGTAGGTGTACTGTAGCTAGGAGGCGGTGACAGGCGAAAAGGGCGTCGAACGCGCCTTGCTTCCCTCCGACTGTCTCCACGGCGCCAGGCGACGGACGGATGGCCGTCTGAAAGCAGCAGGGCAAAGACAATTTCACTGCTGTCGCAGGGTGCCATTGTCCGCGTGCAAATCGGCTCTGGGAAGCGAACCTCGTCGAACGATGGCTCCATTCAACCCGCTGGAAACGGACCGAATTTAAATTAGCTCATTTCCATCGCGACACCTTTTTGCCGCCATCGAATGGTCGGCCGACCAACGACTGCTAGCTACGAGGGAAATGAGTCGCGTTGCGTCGGTCGTCAGTTGTCCCGGTCCCCTTCGAACGAGCCGAGTCACCACAACTACCTCCTCACCGAGCGATAGGCGGCTAGTCGAGCCGAGTCGAGCCGAACCCAGTCGAGCCGGCGGCCAGCAGTGCATAGGCATAGCGCATTGCTGAGCATGAATCAAGTTAAATGCGGTGCAGCGACTGCCTGAACGTATAAACAGCTTTTTGTGCCAGGTAATTTTTCCGGCCTCGCCGTCGGCCAGTCGGAGATTCGGAGGTTTTCGGTGCATCCGCGAGTGTGCGTTTTCGTCAGTGCAACAGCGATGACCTCGGTTATCGGCCGAGCCCGTTCCGAGCCGAATGGCCCAGTCGAAAAAAAGTACTCGCTTCTGCTCCTGTGGGACCTCTGTAGGATGCCAGCTCATTTTTCAACAGTCATCTACGACCGTTTCGATGCGATCGATGGTTTTTCGTATGACGCCGGTTTGCGATGTGTTTGTTTTCCGATCACCGTAGAGCTGTTTTTTTCTCTCTTCGAATTTAGGCTCGATAGAAGACTCAAAAACACGACTTCCACGACGACTTAAATGTGCTAAACGGAACGTTCCACGACCAAAACAGGATTAGATCATCTTTCACAGAGGTGTCCTCCGCGCTTTCTGGATGTTTTTACGACTCTGCATTTATTTCTGCGTTAAAATTCTGCTTAGTCACTGGTTCTGAAAACCCAGTAGCTGTCAGAGGCAAAACTTTTCCAACCTTTTTAACGCCATCAATTTTTGCCGAGTTAGCCTTGTGGTCTCCGCTAGCTCTAACGTCTGTACAGTTGTGTTCAAATCATTTGGTCATTCTTTACCTTTTATTGTCATTTTTGTAGTTTTCTGCAAGTTGTCAATTTATTTCGTTCCATGTATAGATGGCCCTTGCCAACAGATTAACAGAGACGGTTAGAAGCTTAAACAGCTTTTTATCTTTCTGTCTTAACCTCTTGTCATGAGAGCATCTTTGTGCCTTTTCAAACCGAACGGCCGATGCTGTGCCTGGAAATTAGTTCCGATATAAAATGTGCAGGCAACATGTTTACACCTTGCTGCCGTCTTGAGCTTGAGAACGATGCTCAGTGAGGAGATGGACGAGCACTAATATT